CCAACCTAGAAATCTATGAATCTATGAGCTATTGACCACTACCCTCTGGATGAGACCATCCAACCAATTCCTCATCCACCGAACAGTCCACCCATCAAATCCATGTCTCTCCAATTTAAAGAGAAAGGTGTTATGGGGGACCATGTCAAAGGCCTTACAGAAGTCCAGATAGACAACATCCATAACTCTTCCTTTTTCCACTGATACAGCCACTCCATCATAGAAGGCTACTAGGTTGGTCAGGCAGGACTTGCTTTTGGTGTAGCCATGCTGACTGTCTCGAATCACCTCCCTGTCCTCCATGTGCCTTAGTGTAACTTCTAGGCAGATCTGTTCCATGATCTTTTCAGCCACAGAGATGAGGCTGACAGGTTGGTAGTTCCTAGAGTCTTCCTTTCTAACCTTTTTAAAAATGGGTGCCATGTTTCCCTTTTTCCATTTACCAGGGACGACTTCTGACTGCCATAGACTTAGTTATATTCAGGTTCCTCAGGTGGCCACGAACCTGATCTTCTCTTATAGTGGGAGGGAGTTTGCTCCCCAACTCCCTGCCTTGTGGCCTACCCATTCAAGAAGTGTGGGAAGAGAAGTTGCTGGTGTGAAGACTGAGGCAAAAAAGTTAAGTACCTCAGCCTTCTCTTTGTCCGTTGTTACCAGTTTACCAGTCTTGCTCATCAGGGAGGTACGCTTTCTTTGACCTTCCTTTTCTGGATGACATACCTGTAGAAGCCCTTATTATTCTTTGCATCCCTCGCCAAGTTCAGCTCCATCCATGCCTTGGCCTTCCTGACCCCATCCCTGCATAGCCAGGCAGCAGCTGAAATAGGTCAGATGAATTATGACCTAGAAGTACTCATTTTTTCCAGTGACTTAAAAGGATCCTAAGGTGGCAAAGTATCTGCATTACAGGCACCAAATCTTGACCTTGCTTTTAAGTAAGTGTTACCTCACCATCAAATTAAGGAAATTGAAGTGCTGGAAAAAATAGTGTAACTGCTTTTGTTTGACTTTTTTCGCTTAGGTTGTTATGAAGCCACATTAATCACAGTTATTTCTGATCACTTAGTGGGAGGGTGATTAGGTATCGCTTTAAGAGTGCAGCCTGTTATTCATGCTTTCTCTGCAATACTTTGCAGTTCCAAAACTCCAAAGGCTTCTGGGAGAAACTCAACTCAAACTTGGAGAGTGTGAAGTATGCAGAGCCACACTTGCACTACCACAATAATGTGCTCAGGAGGGAATGGCGTCACCTTTCAGAAGAGGTAAATATGCATGTACTGAAACAGTCTCCAGAGCTGCCTCTGAAGGGGATGTCTTAAAGCCAAACACAAGAGAGTTAGCTTTTTTTTTTTATTTTGAGGATAAAAAAATGGGAATCTGATTATGAGAAGTGCAAAGACTTGCAGTCATTTTACTTACAAGGCGATCGCCTGTGAGTCTTGCTCTGTTAAAATAACGCAAGAAACTAAACAAAAGCAGAGCTTGTGTGTACCTGTATTGTCATGCAGGCTCCACGTGGTGAGTGCCTATGAGCGTGGGTAGTTGGAAGGTGGGTTGAAGCCCCACTGTGCACTATTTCCATTCGGAGGGAAAACCAGTTTAATTTCTCATCTGCATTTTATCAGAGAGTGTTTTAATTGGCCTTCTACCTTGTTCATTTGGGGATTTTTATTTGTTTACAAACCAGAGAGAGGAGAGAAGAACCACAGCGTATTTGAGGAATATTTTTGAAAACGCCAAAAAGTAGGTACCATTTTCTATTATATTTACCCTTTCTTGTTTTTTTGAAGTATGTTGAAGGATTTAATGTGCCATTTCAATAGTAGATTAGGTATCTGATTAGACATTTTACTTTAAATAAGATCGTCTAGCTGAAAATCAGTTACTGCAGCATGATCTGAAACATCCAGGCCTCTAGAGGTAGGGTATTTGTGGTAGACAGGAAGAGTTATTCTTATGCAACCCAGACAGTAATTTCTTTACTAAATGTAGTCACATGTACAGTTCTTGGATTTCTTTAGCTGTGTTGGAAAGATCAAAGGGTCATTTAAGCTTTTCAGTGTCTTTATGAAATCCTTTAGAGTAATGCATATGAAACAAGCTGATTTTTGTTTCAAACCCCAGGGTGCTTTCTCATCTGGACACTTGGGACTCTGGTAAGTAAAACTTGTCTTGAAGTAGGCCTTAGCTGTAAGATTTATGAGAATATTTCCATCTAGCTGCTGTTGGCTAAAAATAAATTGCTGTGTGTATTTTCAGCACTGAAGAGTTTGAGGCATTAAGATGAGCAGTTATTAAATTAGAGGAAAATTATCTCTCCGATAGTAGTGGTAGGATTATATACTGACTGGGAAACCTTTAAAAATAAATCCTTCATGCAGGATCTAACAACATAAGCAGTAAACCTTTGTCTGTCTAAGGATTTCTTCTTCAGGATATTTCTCCTGGAGCAGAGTATCAATGACATTTTGTTACTGTTGAGTTTTTTCCACTTATAGCTGCCTTTGCAACTCTAGAACTTCCATACGGTAGCTTATGGCTGGTGAAAAATCATGGTGTACAGAAAGCAGACATGTAATGAATTTCCCTAGGCCAGGAACACTTGAGATTTTGTGATGCTCAATTCCTCTGTCACAAATAAATAAAACTGAATTTAGTAGTAAATTATATTCCAGCTGTTCTCACATCAGTGCCTTCCATGTGCCCTGCTGTTGTGTGCTGTGAAATGATGCTGATCCGAGTGCTGCTCACTCCATTTATTACAAAGAATTTTCAGTGCACTGATTTCCAGCCCCTAACACTGGTCATCTGCACCACTGCAGGTTATTGCTGTGGGTTCTGGCTTTGAGGGACCTTTTGTCAACTTTGCTAGTCGCAGGTTCATATGTTTTCCAAAGGTGCTTATTGATAAAGAAGTCAGATATTTAACTGTTACTAGAGAATTTCTAGATAACTGCCAGCCAGTAGCAAGCATCAGTGTAGCATATCTTCCCTGTAGATTTTTCTTCAAGTCCTTCAAAATCAAGCAATACAAGCCTTTGTGCTGGTAAGTGGTGGGGTAAATATGTTTCAAGGTGAGCGAAGATGGCTGGAGAGAACTTTTTACGGACCAAAGTGCTAAATTTTTGCAATGTTGACTTGATTTTATGCTACATGATGAAATAGGAGATTGCTTTTGTTACTTAGTAGACAGGAAGCACTGATTAGGAAATACAGGGTATTAAATTTCAATAGATACTGTAACCTCCTTCCATTTAGTTAGAAAAGTTGTGTTCTTGTACATAGTGGTCTGCAAATCTGAATAACAGAAGCAGCCAGACCGTGGGAGAGAACCAGGAAAGAGAGAGGTGATTCTGTGGAGTATTTAACTTTTGTGTCTGGCCGTTTCCTTGGAAAACCTGTGTAGCTGTTTTGGCTTGTTTGCCTGTAAATTACAAGTTCTAAGTAGCATATGGTTTTGCACTGGTGTTACCAGAAGGTTCTTTGAGTCTCTTTGGTCTACTGAATCACCACACTGATAATTATCCCTTAAATATCAAAGAAAAGAGTAATACAAATGAAGTGTAAAGTAGTGTGACAGGCTGGTGTCATTCCAGGCTGGTGTACATTCCTCTATGCTCAATATTAAGCACCATGTTGAGGGAAAAGATGGCAGATACAGGGTTATTTTCCATTCCTCAGTTCTCTCTTAGACAGTCCTTGATTCTTCAGTGTCTTGGTTCTGTAGGTGAGTAGATCAAACCACAACTTCTGTTTGTTTGTGTATGTTTCTAAGTACTTTTGAAGCTGGTTGAAGTCTCACGGTATTTCTGTTGCCTCATGTCTTTGAATGATTCTTGCTCTGTTTATTTCAGAGGAAAGGCTAGTACCTCTCTTTCAAGAGGAAGATTATCAGCAGCAATTACTAATGGGACTGGTATGTGCTTTTGTCACAGTGTGCACTAGAGGACGCACAACCTCAGCAAATGTAAAGAGTAAGCTTATGAATTCCAGTGCTGAGTAGAAGCTCACTCAAAGTAGCTATGGGACAAACACTGTATTTCCAAAGTTTTAGAGTTCATAGTCACAATGTCATCATATCATAAGGCATTGGGGAAAAACAGCAATGGAAAGTTGATTTGTCAAAATGCTTTTTGCACTTTTCTTTGGCTAGAAACTGTTATTCCACCCTCCTCGAGTTCGTATTAATCTGTCAGTTATTTTGGGGCTACTTTACATCTTTAAAATGTGTATAGGTGAATTCCCCATTAACTGCTTCCCTCAAGAGAAGATCACAGATCTTCCTGATCCTCAATTTAACACCTTTTTTACTGTCTCTTTTTCCTTCTACCTCACTTCTGGGACTGCTATGGCTATTCTGAGGTCTCTTCCTCTTTTGCACTGTTTTCACTGATGATCTCCCCAAAGGATCTACCATTCTTATGCGTTGGGGTAATAAGTCCTATCTCAGATCACTACCTGTCCTCCTTCTGTCTGAGTAAAGATCTTCACTTATCTCTTGTTCTGTTACTATTAAAACCAAATAAAACTCTTCAGCCTGCACTGGAAGGTCTCAACACTGCATCTGTGAAGAGCATATCAACACTGTCCTGTCTGTCCAAATCTAAGACAAATCTTCATTCTTTGCAGTCTTGTCCCCTTGTTTCCAAGTTCTGCCTCTCATTCTCTGAAGCTTCTCTACATTCCTTCCCTGCAGTTTATTCAGATAGATCCAAAAAGTAGGTCACTGCTGTCCTTTGTCTGTGCTTTCCTAGTACCTGTGTTGCTGTCCTGACGCGTTGGGATTAATCTACTTGTAAACTGCTTGAGACAAATGTTTTATTTCCCTCAGTTTTTCTCTGAGCTTTGAAACAAATAACACTTCATAGTAATTCTCAGCAAAGAACCAGCATGGACTTGAGTGGCAATCAGAAGCTACATGAGGTCAGAGAATGTTTCAGAAAGGACAGGATAGCAAGTGGCATGGACTGTATGAAAACAAATATCTGATTTTAAAGACTTTTCAATTAATGTTTAACCTGAGGCTGCCATTAATCACTCAGGTTCTCAGGTTCTTGGCTACTACCACAAACTGTACTTGTGCTATTTTTCTCTGTTGTAAAATCCCTCAGTTTTATTTGCGTGTAATAAATACTTATATTCTTAGGATTCAATGTTCATATTAAAATCCTTCTATTCACTTGGCTTGACCCAGAGAGAGATAAGAGCTGTAAGCTTTTTCTATTTAATGTCATTGAAAGTTTAATTTAACATTCATTTTGCTGAATTTGCACCAAGTAACCATTTTGAATATGCAGATCTGCTGTTGAATTCGGCAAGCTTGTAGGGTAGCTTGGAATCTCACACTGGAATTTGAAAGCTTTGCTATGCTACTTTGTATTGATGAGGCCCTGCACGTGGTGGAGCTTTTTTATCTTTTTGAAAATGCCATAAGGACACTGAATTGTTGACTTTTTTTTCTAGATGGTTGCTCAGCTAAAGGATCACCTTATGAGACATCTACAATATGTAGGAAAAAAGAAGATTGACGAAATAGTTTTGGATTATGTTGCAAATCTGGTTAGTTTGATTTCATAGTCACTGTTGTGAGCAAACGTGTATTTGTTGAGGGGGAGGGTCTTGGGTGTGTGTTGTGTGTATATAGCATATGTTTGTTGGGAGGAGATTGGTTTTAAGGTGCTTAATAATATTTTGCTGCTTAATAATGTTTATATTGATAAAGGACATATAATACTTAAATAATATTGAAAAGAGTTGTATTGGTCACTCAGAATACAGAAGAAACGGTTCCCTTTACAGCTTGTACAAATATGGTCTACTCCCAGAAGTCAAAATGCGAACTCATCTTGAAAGTTGAAAGAATGGTCTTTAGATCCATTTTGTTTCCTGTAGAATACATTGCTGTGTGTTTTGAATAATGAAAGTGCCATCAGAGGAAATACAAGTTAAGCAAAAAAGATTTCTCTCCAATACGGCATGAGAGTGTATCATCATTACTCCTACATATTGGCTTCCACGGACTTTTTGTGAGTGTAACAAGAGACAGAGTTTTGCCTGAAGACATCCACATAAACTACAGTGAAAACTTGCTTCCAAATTCTTAATTTTCTCTCTTTCAGCCTCTTAAGAGAAACTTTAAAGAAATAGACTGTAAAAACTGTAACTGTTGTGCATAGAAATTATTGTGCCTGGTTTTGTATGTCTCAGCATCGAATCCTTTAAGCGCAGAATGCAGAGTCCACAGGAGTTCACATGGCAACAAGTAAATCGTGTTCTTTGTGTTTGCGCTAGCCCTGTCGCCGGATTCAGCAGAAACTCCCCACAGTGCTGTTTTGTAGGGATGGAAATCTCAGGAAACTTTCTTGGTGCCTGCATCTTTTCTGAAGTTGGTCATGCTGTAGATGTTAGCGTTCTCTGAACCACCGCAGCTTCCACCGATGTTACTGACTTTTCTATTGTTGTTTTATTGCTAATCAGCAGTCTGTTTTCTGTATCTTTATAGGAAGAAAAGAAAAACTAGTAACTGACTAAAATAGAAACAGTACAGCATGAACCAAAGCTTTGTACCTGAAAACACTGCTGAAAGAAGCAGAAGTAGAATGTTTGTTCTCCTTTCATTCATTTTCTAGTTATCATTTGTTCATTCTTAATATAAACTAAGATAAAAAATATGAAAACACCTATGCAGCCTTGATCTGCAAGACTAAATTATTGTAGACTAAATCTTACAACCAAAACAAATCTCAGTCCTCCCCATCAGCAAACTCTTAGCATTTTTTTTTTTAACATCACTAAAAGCAAGAAGTCTGTCAACTCAATTTACAGACTTCTCATTCTTGGAAAAGCTACTATAAGCAAAGATAATATATCTCTAAAATTGCTTGTGCCCTCTGACTGGTGCATCTTAGGTGCTGTTTGGAAATCTTTAGAAATTATGTCATCATTATGCTTGGGTTTCCTGTCATCCTGGTCAGAAACTCTTAAATCTTAAACCTTTCTGTATCCTAAATGTTTGGAAGTTCTTCAGGGGAATGAATTGTTTTGATTCTTCCAACAGTTTTCTGTAGCATCAACAGCATGTAGCTGAGCTACTGAAACTGATGAAACAGGAAGAGACGTGAAATCATTTACTTCTCTGCTGTAATAAAATATTTTTTAATTACATTCAGGAGCAAAGGAGTGGCTGAGAATAGGGCTCTGTGGCATGTGGCCACTGTATAAATCAGTTGCAGCTGAAGTCGAAGTAGCCAAGACATGGACAGTTTCTCATAAAACAACAGACTAATGGCTGGTTGCTGTCAGAGAACTGCGTGTGTTTGTATACAGAGAAGTAACCTGGGGAAGCGTGAATGAAATGTCTCAGTGGGAATTCCCTTGTTTGCCAGGGAGGTCTGCAGAGCCTGAGTATGCCTGGTTACCAGTTCACATGCCACCTAGTCTGCAGTAATTGTTTGTATGTCCATGTTCTCTCTCCCCTGCAAGCTCTTTATCTTAGCTTTACTCCCTATCTCATTCTTTTCATTTCAGCAGGGCAGGGAAGGAAGGAAAAAACTTTCAGAAACAGCATGACATTTGCTGCCCTGACAGCAAATGGAAGGGGAGGCAGAGCAAACAGGCAGCTGGTGGCACAAGAAAGAGACAGATCAGAATAAACTGTTGAAATTTCTCTGGAAGTTGCTACAGTGGCTGCACCTTTTTGACTGATGTCTGTGGCTAGCTATCATCTGATGTGGTGTCAGCTGCAGAGGAACAGAAGACAAAACACCATTTGGATTTGCGTTTCCTCAATAGGAGGAGGACTGCCTTGTATCCCCTGCACAGGGGGGAGTCTAGAAGACAGCAAGACCCTGTCTTACTCCATTTTCTCCTGATTCTTTTCTTTGGCTATTTCCATGTCTTTCCTGTAGAAACAGCCATAGGAGCTGAGCACTTGTGGTTCCAAATGACTTTAGTGGAACTTCAGTCTACTCAACACCTTTGCCTGGAAATGTTTCAAGACAGCAAGGTGCTTTGCAAATGTCAGCCTAGACCCCATTGCATGCACTCTCATTGTTGATCATGTTTTCTCTCAGTAGTTTAGAGCACTCCAAGGGAAATGGCTTCTCATACTTGCCCAAAAAAACATCATCTTGTTTGGCTTTGCTGTGAAGGTATGGGTTTAGCTCTTAACTTGGTTCCCCCAGAGACCTGCTGGTAGCCTTGGAGAGGAAGCTGCCTGTACTTCCTCTGTAAAACAGATAATGTTTCCTTTCTCTTAGGCACGTTGTTCTGTGTGTTATATACTGAAAAAAGTTTGAGACATGGCTTCTCTTTCCGTATGTGTTTTCTACAGTGTCCGTTGTGGCTGATCTTGAAAGTGAGTAGTGCTGTTGGTAAGGGTGTCATGTCATCAGTGTCCGTGTATTTAAGTATGTTGTGATAGCTGGGTTGACATTGACTTCAGAAGCTGTTGTCTGTGAAAACTGTACAGTCTGCTGTGTTGTTAAGGAAAGAACGTTGATTCTGGAGTATCATAGCCATGAAACAATTTTGTTTCACAAACAATGAGAGGTGATTCTGGAGTTTGTAAGAAGCTTCCCTTCACCTCAACAGTGATCTTCAGATCCCGCTGTAGCTCCCAATGCAGAGGCCTTAGCTGCACCCTGTGTCCTGGCCAGAAATGAAAGTCATTCTGGCAGCAGGTGCAGTTCTTGTGACCCTTTTCTGAAAACTGGAAATCGCTCATTTCTTGGAAAACGAATGGAGAAAACTTGCTATACTCCAGAGAGATTAAACTGAAGCTTTCCACTGCATCCAGAAAGTATGAAGTTGAAAAGTGTTAGGTGGTTATTCTATGTCAGATAGCTGCACAAGGCTGGATGGGAGTCATGGAGGGAAAAGGTGCTACCTTCTAGAGGTTCCTTGGCCAAGGTACAGAGGAGAGCACTCAGGAGCATTACTGAAGACCAATATTTCTGTTCAAGCCTTCTCATTTAAACTTCTCCTGTGTGTCTTGTTTCTCTGTTGCTCAGAGCCTGTGACAAGTTAGAAGTTGGAGAGGGCAGAGCCGATGAGAAGAAAAGAGAGCAGGGAAAAGGATTCCTGGATTGTGGCCATCTTGGGGGGGAAAAAGGTTTTGTAACTTCTCGTGATACCTCTCTGCAACACAGGGGCCAGACTTGCTTCCTGAGAGTTTCCCAGGATTGATGGATTAGTGCACTTTGAGGCCCAGAAGTGAAAGGCATAGAGGAAGCATCTCAATTCCGTTACTGCGATATGGAAGTGGTTACACGTGACAACTGTGAGGGACTGGCTAGAGGAAGTTATTTCAACTCTTTCATGCATGGTTTCTTTTTTGGCTGCAGAAGCTTAGAAGGCCCAAGTGAGAACAGGGCTTGTGGCTTTTGTATGCTGAGAGTCTGTACTGGAGCTCAGCCAGTTCTGGCTTTGCACCGAGAGCGCAAAGAAGCGACAATATGGACCAAGGGATTGTTTTACTTCAGTGTGGACAAAAAGGAAACTCAATAGAGGAGGAGATGTGTTTGCTTGTCTCATCTTTCCTCATTGCCAGGACCAGATTTGTGTTTCTGCCTGCAGACTTTTTTCAGCAAACTGAGTATTCCACAGTCTTCAGTATCATCATGCAGTTTTTGCTTTCATGGCAAACAGATACTTGAGAATTTGATGCAAAAGCATGAGATCAGTTGATTCCCAAGAAGCACAATGTGTTAAGATGCTGCACGTCTTGCACAATGCTTTGATGAGCTGGAAGCACTTATTTTAAACTTCTGGAATAGGGCACTTCAGTTACAATTCAAATTTTAATTAATTTTACATTTTAAGCCCCTAGGAAAAAAAAAGACAAATACCAAAGTTGTAGTAGGAGTCTCATGAGAAGTTTTCAACATAAACTGATGTATGAAATGACTGAAGAGCAAGGCCCTGCTGTACACAGGCTCCTAGAAACATTAAATCTTTTCTGTTTTGTTTTAGCTGAATCTGATACATCGAATAATGAAAGAAGTTTGGAGGAGATACCAGCTTCATTCCTGCATCTTCTGCTTGTGAGCAAGTCATTTGTTAAAGTTTTCAGCCTGCCTTTTAAAGTATGGGCATAATAATTTTGGTCTTCAAGAGTACTGCTCTCTTGAACAGTCAGTGGTCACTGCGAATGTCAATGTGACTGTCAGCTACTCTTTTTTAGTGATCCTGCTGGCCCTCTCTCAGCCAGCATATTAATCATACAGGCAGTTCTACAGCTGGAGTTCAGAGTTTCTGTGTTCGCAGTGGTCTTAAGCTGGGTAGTGGGTGTTAAACACCAAGTCACTTATACCAGCACTCCAAATATTTCACCTATTGCTGTTGATACCAGGTGCTGCTGAGAGACTTGTAAATGCGCAGTAGTAGGGGAAGGAGAAAGGGGACACCACAGAGACTTTGTGTGTCAGCATTGAACAGCTAGTGCTGTTAGGTGGCAGGCACCTAAGGAAACAAGATAGCATCCCATGGCAATTCACCCAAAACACGTGCGTTCAGTGCACATGCAGTACAACAGATTGACATATCTCCAGGAGAGTGTGGGCATCTCAGATTCCTAATATGTTGCTACTTTGTTAAATACAGTGATGAGCGAGGAAGTGCAGGAGAATTTGCAGTGTTCCACATCATGAGTCGGATTCTGGAAGCTGCAAATGGCATGTGCATGCCTTTACCTCCTGGTAAGTAAGTCCCATGTTTTGCTGTTCTAATCGTAAGTGAGGAGAGCAATGCTAAGAATTCCTCCCAGAGGAGCACTAGTTGCAGCACATGTGTCAAGTTAGCTTTGGCAGTATTGAAATCTATTCAAGACAGATACAGAGGTGAAGACCTTCCATAAACACGTGTAAGTGAAATGAAACAAAACTGAATAGTTACTACAAATAGAGATAAAAAAATCAGAGGTTTAGTTCTGTTTTCAGCTTCCAATGGAATCCTTGAGCATAGTCTTAGCTTAGAACTAAGATTTAGACTTCTTTCATGTATATATTTTTCTTAGACAACTTAGTGTCAGGGACTATAAAGGAAAATTCTGGACCAAAAAAAGTGTTTTTTTCTCATGCTGTTGCCCTGCTAATATTTTTCAGTTTAATCCTGAAAGGATTGCCACCAACCTTGATGGAAGAGCTGATCTTGATAGTAGACTTTCATTTTTAAGATCTCCTCATAATTGCTTAGAGTCTTTTCAAAGCATTTGCTTATTTTTGTTAGGGGAAGACTTCTTAACTACTTAATGCTTTCTGATTCTGCTTGAATCTTTCTAGTTTGTGTTTCCTGATCTGTCTCCAGTCTTTGAAACTGTTTTTGGTGTGAGGTTGTTCCTCAAACTTGCACTGTGTGGGTGGAAATGCTGCCATGTAGTGGTGTCACGTGGTGACAAAACCATCATCTGGCTGATGTTAAGTGAGAAGTCTTAACGCTGCCTGTGGGAATGTGTGGGTGGCAGCCACATACTGAGGGTGGTGAGGTCTCAGGTTTTGATTAATTAGGACGAAAGAGGGAGATAAAAGACAAATTAATAGAACAATTGAGATATAAGGCAACAGCTTGGACATGTTCCAACCCCCCTGCCAGGGGAGTTGATCTTTAAAAAGTCCCTTCCAACCCAAACCATTCTATGATTCTATGTTTAATGATTTTATTGCTATAATGACTGTTTTCAGTCCCCTTGGCTTTTCTCTTGTCTAACAGATTTGTACTTGAGAGGACTTAAAGGATGCCTAAATAAGACTACATGACCTTTGATAAACTGATTTCTTCACAAACTAGAAACAGTCAGAAGTTAAGAAGAGTGTTGGCTTTCTCTAGAGTAATGCCAGTCTCTAATACAGACTTAGAAAAAAAATATATATTGTTGTACCATACAAGTTTGTCTCTGTTTCATAGGTTTTCACACTCTGCACTTGGGGCTTGGTGTTCGATGTCTCCCTCTGCACACCCTCCTGCACTATATTGATAATGGAGTCCTGCATTTGACAGAAACAAGTGTCAGGAAATTGCTGAAAGGTACAGTGAGTTTCATGTGTTTTCGTTTGTTGCTAGCCAGCTAATTGGTAGTGATGTCCTTTCAGCCATTAAAACAGACCCAGGATCTACCGCCCAGAAGACTCAGTTCTTCTCACAGAGTGTTGTTTCAGTGAGGGCTGTAGCTGATGGTGTTGCCCAGCTGAAAGGAGGAAATTAGGGCTCAGACTATATGAGTGAGCCTTACCATAGTAGACAAAGAAAGATCTTTTGAGGGAAAATTTTTGAGTTGACAGTTTTTCCACTTCGGACTTTGTAGAAAAGTGAATACTAAAGATCATCATAGAATTTGTTGGGGGATTTCTATGACTCTATGAAAGTGCACATCTATATGTAAGGAAGTTAGTCTGCTATGCAGTCCTCAGCTTTTGCTTTAATTATGTTTGGAACAAGAGGAACAGGCCTGTCAGTCTGACCTTAGTGCTGGGGAAGGTTATGGAGCAGATCATCTTGAGTGCTATCACATGGTACCTACAGGACAACCAGATGATCAGGCCCAGTCAGCATGGGTTTATGAAAGGCAGGTCCTGCTTGACTAGCCTGATCTCCTTCTATGACAAGAAGGTGGCTCGCTTAGTGGATGAGTGAAAGGCTGTGTGTGTTGTCTACTTGGACTTTAGTAAAGTCTTTGACACTGTTTCCCACAGCATTCTCCTGGAGAAACTGGTTGCTCATGGCCTGGACTGGTGTACGCTCCGCTGGGTAAAAAAGTGGCTGCATGGCCAAAACCAAAGAGTTGTGGTGAATGGAGTTAAATCCAGTTGGTGGCCAGTCACAAGTGGTGTTCCCAAGGGCTCAGTATTGTGGCCAGTTCTGTTGAGTGTCTTTGTGAATGATCTGGACAAGGAGATCAGGTGCATCCTCAGTAAGTTTGCAGATGACACCAAGTAGAGTGGGACTATTGATCTGCCCTACAGAGGGAACTGTATCAACGGACCGAGGACAATTGTATGAGAATCAGCAAGGCCAAGTGTCAGATCCTGCACTTGAGTCACAACAAGCCCATGCAACGCCACAGGCTTCGGGAAGAGTGGCTGGAAAGCTGCCCAGCAGAAAAGGACTTGGCGCTGTTGGTCAACAGCCGACTGAATATGAGTTGGGAGTGTTCTCAGGTGGCCAAGAAGGCCAACAGCATCCTGGCCTATATCAGAAATAGTGTGACCAACAGGACTAGGGAAGTGATTTTTTTTTTTTTTCCTTCTGTACTCGGCACTGGTGAGGCTGCACCTGGAACACTATATTCGGTTTTGGGCCCCTCACTACAATAAAGACATAGAGGTGCTGGAGCCTGTCCAAAGAAGGGCAACAGAGCTGGTGAAGGGTCTAGAGCATAGGTCTTATGAGGAGCAGCTGAGGGAACTGGGATTTTTTAGCCTGGAGAAAAGGAGACTGAGGGGAGACCTTATCGCTCTCTACAGCTGTCTGACAGGAGGTGGTATCGAGGTGGGTGTTGGTCTCTTCTCCCAAGTAACAAGTGATAGGACAGAGGAAATGGCCTCAAGTTGCATTAGGTGAGGTTTAGATTGGATATTAGGAAAAATTTCTTCACCGAGAGGGTTGTGAAGCATTGGAACAGGCTGCCCAGGGAAGCAGTTGAGTCACTGTCCCTGGAGGTATTTAAAAGACGTGTAGATGTGGCCCTTACGGACATGGTTTAGCGGTGGACTTGGCAGTGTTAGGTTACTGTTGGACTTGATCTTAAAGGTCTTTTCTAACCGTAGATTCTGTGATTCTATGATTCTAAGGTAATCCTAGTGCTGGGATTGGCAAACAGCTACAAGCTCTGTGCTAGGAAGTAAAAATTCAAAATAAGCAAACAAAAGCCTACCTGACTCAGCATCCCAATATTTTTAGTAAATATTGAGCTTGTGGATATCTTCTAAATATCACATAATGTTAACTAAAAGCATGAGTTAAAATTAAGTTCTATATGAACCCGTGTAGGCATCAAGCGCAGATCATGTTCTGTATGTGGCTTCCTTCTGAGTGGAAGCGAAGTACTTCATTTCCACTAAGGAGGCTTAGGAGCAAGCTAGCACGTGTGCTGTGGGAATGACTGGGGCCTAAGGCTTCAGAACAAGATGGGGAGTCGGACAAATTGGCAGTTGCAGCTGGCATCACACACATGTTAATTGCCTTTTGCAGAAGGGAGAAATAGAGAACTGTAGCATAAGCTTCCTGGGATGCAGCAGCACCATGATAAGACTCTTCAACAGTAATGCACTTCATCACAGCCACAACCGTGTTCCCTTGTGATGTGCTCGTTCTCTGGTGTTCAAGAAAAGGGACAACACAATATGCTGTATCGAGCTGTGCCTGATCTCAATCAGTGAAATATTATAAATGTGGGGAGTTCTGCTTAGTCAAAACTTGTTTGAATTATTGTATAAATTGTTACATAAAATGGTGAAGTTACATACAGATACACAGAAAAATATTTATATAAATGGTATAAACATAAATAACACTCCTAATAGTGCTTACTTAAAATTTTCATTTCATTAGAGATGATGTTTATTCAGAACGTCTTCAGTGAAAGTTGAAAGTTTTATTTAGGGTGTTACTGGATGTTTTTTGTGGGTTTTTGTTTGGTTGGTTTTTTTTTGTCTTATAGATCTGGATGACACTGAGGAGAATGAAAAGCTGAAGTTCAGTATTGTCATGAGACTTCCTGAGGTAACTAATGACTTCGGATGTCATTTCTTGGATTTTGGAAACCATAGGAAGGTCTTCCCTGTGTGTAGGATTAAGCCAATGGAAGACTTAACTGTGGTTCACATAGGGCACAGATATAACCTGAACCTCCACAGTTTCTCCATTTGCTTCTCATGACCTCTAGGGTACCCCGATAACTAAAATTACAGATTTGTCCATAGTGTTTTGCAGTGTCTCCAGGACCCTGCAGGAATCAAATCGACAAGACTGACACTGCTCTACTGAGTACTCATCTGCATAAAGCAATAAGGTTTTAATGGGGCTTAAAGAGGATTTATGAGGATTTGTGTGTGTTTTTTAGCATCCACAAATGTCTTTCTCAGTTGTGACCTCTGCATTTGGTTTTATTCATTTTATCAAATATGTTCAAAAGCTGGCACAGTAAAAGCTGTAAAATCTGATCAAATCACAACTCTGTGGTGGGGATTGACTTACAAGTTCTCCCCCTCTGTGAAATCTCCCAGCCTCACTCGTTGATAAGGTGACTTGTTTAGTCTTGTGCTGGAACTAATTACTGATGCTCCATTGAAAGTTCCAGCAGAATGGAAGATTGACTTCTCCCTTCCCCTTTTAGCTCTTAGTGCACACCACAGTACTGCAGAGGAAGCACAGCATCTCAATGAGCAGAGGAAAACCAGGGACCCCCCTCCAGGACTGCCTTGCTGTAGAACAGGCTTTTCTCAACATAAGTTGCTTATTGTTTGCTCATTATGGGCTATTACGTGTAGTTCAAATGGCCAGAAGTGCCGCTTTGGTTTTCCTCTAACAAGGGCTTCTTTATTTGGCAGCAGTTTTGAGAAGGGGCAGGGAAGGAGAACTCCACAGGAGGTTCTTTGTCCTCTGTGTCTTGTTTTGGGCATGGGTTGGTGAGCTGGGTCAGTGCAAGGCCTCTCTGAGCTGTCAGCCCCAGGCCTGGTGGGTGGGGAACTCCATTCCAATCGCACTTTGACGCGAGGGGCTGAGCTGTGAGTGCTTCAGGGGACGTGTACTGCTAGTTATGCACAGTAGACTTAGTGCCTTATTGTGTCTATTTACAGCTTTGGGAAAAAATGCAGAGAATAGTTTGTTTGCCAAAAAGGACACTTTGGGGTGACTCAGACTATTTTGAGCAGGTTACAGTCACTAGATGACTTCAGTTGCATCAGAAGCAAGTATTTAAGCACCATTGAAACTGTTCAGCATTTCCTAAATGAACTCTTTCATTACTCTGTATTGTTAATATAACTGGAAGTGATGGGCGGAGGAGGTCTTGATAGGGAAAATAGCAGAAGGTGGGACTAATTTCACAGTGTGTTCATATTTATTTGCTTATTGGTTAGGATTGCAAGCTTTGGGACATCTGGGTTTAAATCTCTTGCCTTTGGGAGTGTTATAAATGTTATAAATTCCCAGGACGATGCCCTAAATAATGGGGTGCAAATTGTGTTCCCAGTATCTCTCCTCGTCAGCATTCTGCTTTTGTAAGATTCCTTAGACTGAGCCTGAGAGAAGCCCTGTTCTGAATGGAGCAGAGTGTTGAGGAATGGTCCATCTGTGTTATTCTTTGGAAGAAGAATGGATCTAAACCAAAGAGTCACAGCAAAGGTTAAATGGTCATTTCAGGCCTCAATTAATAAACATGCCAAATGGGAGAGAGGTAATGGACAGGCTGATAGAAGCTTACTGAGTAGCTCACTGGGTACTGAGTAGCAAGGTTTTGATCGTTTCCCACGTTTTGGGAGCGTATTGTAATCTCTTAGTTACTGGCCATGAAAGGAAGGCTCCATGGCTAAAATTGATGACGTCTTAGCTTCTGTCATCAGTGTCTGAAAGCAAAGCAGTCTGTGTTACAGCCTGGATTTTGTTTCTGTTTTTTTCTCCTTTTTCCTGTCAAAGTTTCCACTGTCCTGTGTTTTAGGTTCTCAGGTTTTTGGTGTTTGTTTTTTTTCTTTCTAGGCTCTTGGTCAAAAGGTCCGCCAGTTTTGGAACCATCCGATAAATGCTAATTTCATTGCCCGGAAATATGTGAAACTTTTGCTTGAGAAGCTGGGGAACAGGCAGGTAAGAGCACGTAGGCCTTTTTTTTTTCTTTTAATCTTTTGTTTTGACAGTGTTGAGATTCCTGACCTTTCTGCCTAAAGATAACATTGAAACTTGACACTATGCGACTTTGTGAACTAACCTGACATGTTCTCCCTTACAGTGCAGCAGGCCTATCCCTGAGAGACTCTCGGTCCCTGTAGAGTTTTTGCCACTTAACTACCTGACTAATATGCTGGCAGAGATAGAGAATCAAGGTAACGTTAATTCTGTGCTTTGGAAGACCAGCAATCCTTACCCTTTGATGCTCACGTTCATCTATATCCTGACTGTATTGATGTAACAGAGTTCTAAAACTCCAGTGATGTCTGAACACGTAGGTTTCGTCATCTTTCTGCTGATGGGAATTGTCAGGCGGTTTCTTCACTGCGTATCTGTTCATCCAGATCCTCTGTGTGTTGAATCCAGTTATCAGACTTGCATTTTTCAGAATACACGTAGTGAAACGTAGTTCATGTACAGCGCGGTGGTAGCTGTTACTCTGTAGAACGTGTCCTGGTCCATTTTATGTACTAGCACTAATGTAGCCACTGTGCTTAAATCTTGGTTTGGATCTCCAGCATAGAATTAGTATGGAAATCCCTAGCAGCCTCCCGAGATGGTCTAACTTTCCTCCATGTGGGATATCAATTACTTATATCCCACAATGGGAACATTTTTGCCATGAGTGAGCATCCAAGCAATTCCATGAAAGCTGTAGGTATTTTGTGTAAATGAAAATGCTTCTATCTTTTACCTTATCTTTTGGTTTTGTAGACGAAGATGTTTCATAGACTGCGGGACTAAGTGTGCAAGAACACTTAAAATTTTGTAAATACTGACATTCTCCCTATGTTTTTCTAGGTGTGCATCTGTATGAAAACCAAGACCATGTTAATGTGAGATTTGTAGAGGAAACAGCACTCAAACACACTATGACGCTTTTGGGCCTCAAATATCCCTGAAATAACACACTGTTGAAGAAGGCTGTTCAACTGTGGTGCTCATATAAAAGAATTCATGCAGAAGCATGCAGCCAACTTTGTTTTTTTAAAACTTAAATGCCATGTGATTTCCCAAATAATCTGCAGTTTTGGGTAGTCACCATTACTGACATAAGCAACTCAAAATAGTGTTTGGTCCAAATTACTGACTTCTAGATAAATCCTAGAGAAACACATCTGACACAAACCCAGGTTTGAAATATATCTGTGGTTTCATTTTTAAGTGGTCAAATAAGTAGAACTACAGTGAGTATTAAAACACGCTGTGAAAATTGGTAGTAATATAAATTATTTTAACAAGATAGACAATCCTGAAAAAGGTAGTCCAGTTGCATTGTACAGTAGCAAGAAACCAGTAACTGTTTACTCATTTAGATTAATAAAAGTATTTATTGGTGTGTTGATGTAAAGCAGGTAAGAATAACAAATGGTGAATCAGTTTCTGTATATAATGCATAAGTAATGATGTATTTATTCTTTGTGGTGGTCAAGTGTTATCTTACTGTACTTCTGCCTTTGGAGTTGGATTCTAATATATTTGGTTTTGTAATTAGCACAAAATAGAATCTCCTTAAGGTGCATGTGATAGGTTTTGTTTTCTTTGTTTGTTTTTTAAAGATATGTATAATATATTGTAAGCAATACAGGAGAAGAAAAGTTGTTGGGAGATTAACACAGGGGCTTGGACAGAGTTGTACTTAATTCTTTCCTCACAACTTCTAGTGTTACAGTTCAAGCCTTACCTTCAAAAAGAAATTATGGAGGTTGTTTTTCCTTCATTTTCAACTTTTATTTGTACATAACTGAATAGTGTTGTTTGGTTTTTGTTAAGTTCTGAACTGTGACATTAATTTAAAATAGTAATAGCAGTTTGCTATGCAGAGAAAACTTAAAAGTTCTGACATGGGGTTTCTGCAGTCTTCACTGGATTTAGCAACACCTCTATCAAAGTTTCAGACTATTAAAACTAGTGCAACTCATTGACAATTTGATAGATTTTGGAGGTTTTCAATAACAACCTCTGATATTCTCTCTGAGTAGTTTCCATTGATGCTTCCTGCTCCTTACCAGTGAAATCAAAAGATCCAGTTCTCTGGAGTGACTTGGCAAGTTCATAGTCATTCCCTTGTCATTGCCATCAGTGGAGCAAGAGTTTTAGCTTTCTCAGTAACTGCGTAGAGGGAAGGAATATTTTTCTCAATATAAATAAAATTTGTCTGGCAAGCGTAAAGTCCAATCCCAGACTGCAGAAAACTATGTTATTGTATTCGTGTAAGTGATGGGGACTTTGTTCATATTGTATTAATAACTAGAGAAGATTTTTCAGCCTTTTCTTTTTAATGAAATGTATTATAAAATATAATCAGATGCAATAAAACTTCAACTGGAAAAAAACAGTAAGTGTAGTACGATGCTCACTCATTTTTCTTAACATTTTAAATTACTGCACTGCATTTGGGATACCAGGCTCCTCCTAGCCAGGAGAAGGCAACTTGCATCACTGATTACTTAGCTATGCTTCTTTCATTAACTACTACTACGTTTTCAATATGGAATTTAGCTAAACACTAACAGACATTCCTTCAGTGTAGTGTAAATGCTATGGACTCTTGACGTTCAGCAGCCAGTAGTGGCCTTTCCTGCTTTAGGTGCTGTCTGTTCAGATTTCAATTGGCTTTACAATAGGTTTTCTGAAATATCTCATATTTGAACTGGGTTCACTTGGTTTGAAAGGAGCCAGAGCGCCGCCGTAGGGCCGTGGCAATGGGAGACTGTATTCATCGTCTGGGATACAGGCAGTTGGGCGCCGTTCAGCTGTCGTGCGGACACAGCCGGGCGCTGCAGCTTGTTCCTCTTCTGCAGCCTGCTGTGAGAGAAACACCTTTTGATCACTTAGTGACTATATGCTTCCAAACTCCAGTACTCTCCTGAGCCAACATACAGAATACCTGACAAAGGAAACACTTAGTCTAGTCCTTAGCAAACCAGGAAACCCAGACAGGTGTTAGTTGTTCATTGAAAGGAAAGCACGACTTACTGACTATGTAGATGTGAGTTTGTCCTTTAAGTAGTATACAGTTTGAGCATATAATGCTTTCATTATTTGTAAAGGAAACAGATTAGATGAACTTTTAAAAGTTGTAGTAGTCGTGCACAGAAGAGCTCAGGAATGGAATAATTGTTCTGATGCTTCAAAATGTGGCTATATTTATGCTGACAGCAGCTGTTCTTGAATACAGCTACTGCAGTGAGCTTGTATCCACAGCACTGAAAGGAAACTGAGTCATAGCATGAGGAGAAGTGTTAATGACAGAGAAGTTTCTTATTCTAAACCAGTTTTACCGCAGCAGTTCTGTGTGACTTCAAGTTCTTTAAGTGTACGTGCAGTATATTTCTCTCCCAGCATTGTGTGCCTTTCAGATTCCCTTGGAATGATCAACTAAAGCACTCCTAGAGCAAAGCTAATTTCCCATCAGCAAGAGTTCCCTCAGTATACACTTCTCATTTTTGTATTACTTTTTCTTCTTTGGGAGCTCTCTGCTCAGGGATCACTGATGGTCTCGACTAAGGAGGCATAGTATCCAGCAGAGTAGAATTGGAAGCACTATTAGATGTGCTGCCTTGCCTACCCTCAGTGTCTTGCCCAGCAATATGATTTCTTGAAATTTCTGATCTGATGTTCACTACGTCTGGCATGTGGACTAAACTTATTTTTCCTGAACTTCATTTCGCACCCCACCTTTTGCAGCTTTACCTTGAAATCAAATGGAAAGCAATACTTCACCTATGGCTCTCATCCGTCATCCCAAACCATGGTCACACAAATTACTTTAATTGAAGGTAAGTCTTCCTTTGAGTGTAATGTGTTCTCTCCCTCAGATTCAATGACCAGTTCTAAGCACTGTACCAGGCTGCAGTTAAAGCTCTGCAAAACCGCAATGACCACTTTAGTAGTTGTCTTTGCACCGTCATCTCCACTGACTCCTGGAGCTCCATGTTCGGCAGCGAACAGCTACGCAGGGAGTTAGCACAGCTCTTTCAGAAAGACAAGCTAGAGCAGTGAAAAGATGAGGCTGGAAATCTAATTGCAATGTGTGACAAAAACTTACTTTAGCTCTGGCTTCAGCTGCTTCTTTTTGCATCTTCTCGTTACGTAATGTCTTCAACCATTCTTTCTCTGTTTCTTTAGGAGGGGGAAGGCCTTGATCTATCCTTGAGGAAACAGTCATCACAAATTGTTCTTTGTCTCTCATTTCCTGCTGTAGTTTAATGGCAAGTGCTTGCTTCATGGATAGTTCTGCAACAAGAGCCATCATCTTCTGGGTTCTGTCCTTTATCTTCTTCTGCAGTTCGTTTCTCTGGAGTAAGTAAGAAATGCATTTTAGTTAGGGCTTCCCTTCAGACTCTTACAGGGTATGACACTTACGTAAGTATTAAGTACATGAAAACAAGTCCAGCTTGACTCAATTTTTAAAAATAGTTCCATACTTCAAAATGGCTTAATGAAACAGGACGTGTGCTTCATTCTGCTTGGAACCACAGAAACTTGCATTTAAAGTCACACTTATGCCAATACAAGGTACAGAAAAGCATGTTTATATTTCTCTCCTGCCCTTTCAGCTGAATAGCAAAACTCACTGAGGGGCAGGTTGGAAACCCAGATTCCAATTGACCTTGTGCAGAATTAACTTTGCAAAAAAGGCGTAATAAGCCTGATCCTTACAAGGTAATTGAGTGATAACGCAGACACAGTGGGACTGGGGTTGGGAAGTTATCCTTGGCAGGGGGATGAACAGAAAAGGAACAGGACAGGAATCCTTGAGTGACTGGGGATCTTTTAAACAAAAAAACCCAACGAAACTCAAATACTCTTTTTTAAGTGACTAATAGGGAATTGGGAGAGTCAGAGCACTCGGATGTAACTTTTGGCACGCTGCCATTTTTACAGTAGTTTATTAGTCCGTGGCCATGATTTCACAAACCCATGTAACAGCCATGTTATTTCTCTCTGTGGAAAATTAATGGTTTACTATAAAGATGTGTTTTAAGTCTTTCTGAGTGCCAAACCTAACACCTAAGGAAAAAAAAATCAACCCTGGCCTTGTTTTACACGAATTATTTTGCTGGTTTTGGGGTTTTTTTTTTTTGCCTTTCACTTGGCTCTGCTCTATTTGGACCTTTTTCAATAAGGAGGTGGTGAGAGGATTTTTGCTCTTCCCCAAACAATGTTACTGGCAGTTGAAAGGGAATAGCTATAATTATACAGAAACGACTGTATTGAAAATGATATTTCTTGCCTGTGTGGTTTTCCTTACCTAAATAGCAAAGAAACTTTGAGCCAGATTTCAAGTCTTATCTTTTTTTGTGTTGGAGGAATATAGAACTTACCTGGCTTTTCCCTATTTCTTTTTATCCATAGCGTGTTTGTTGTGGAAAGGCTGTTAAGTACGTACACAAAAGGAGGATTCTCCCAAGTTTCTAAGCACTCAACCTGAGAAATAAGTTATCCTGTATTTTGGTGAAAGGCACTACTCATGATGCAGCTTCCTCTCAAAAAGAAAGGACACTTACCTAACGCTCTTGCTATGTCTGTATTACCATTATTACTAAATGCCTATAATTTCTGAAGAGTAACATATGACTTGCCTATCAATATTTCCAGCCGCTAGTTTTGTAATTTGCAAGTGAGTCATCTTACCTCTTGCCCAGATACTGTTTCATTTTGTGTAGGCCAGCAAGCAGAGCGTGCAATGCCCTTCTTACCCTTTTAGCTACCAGCAGTGTGTCCTGCTTCCCGTCCTCTGCTGTGGCACGGATTCTGTCCGTCAGCCGGGAAACGTGCTTGTAGAGAAAATCTGTCTCCAGCAACTTCTCCTCCTTCTGCACCAGCTCTACCTCTAGCTGCAGCAAGAAGGAGTATACGGGGTGTAGGTAAATGACAGGGGAAGGTGCAACACAAGGTGTTCCTGTGATTGCTCTGAGAGCTGCTGAAATAACACCAGTACACGGCCATACGTAATCACTTCACCATCAGATTTCTCAAATTTTTCACCCTCTCTGCCAAGTATCAGAGAGGGTGAAGTTGGTTCAGTTGGTTCCTGTCAGTCGTACAGTTCTTCCATATCAGACTGGACCCTTCTGGGGGGCAGGGAGTTACACCAGCATTATTACTGCCTTGCTGTGATTTTCTTGAAAGCAAGGATTTTTTTCTAGTGATTTTTTTTTTTTTTATTCTGGCTTCTTGAGTCGCGCTGTAATGAGAAGGTTTCAGCTCTTGCTTTAAATATCTTTTCTCTCCTGCTGCTAAAAAAAAAAAAAGGATAAGCTCCAAAGACTAAAAAATAAAGTACTGTGCAACTAAAAGGACTTTAAAAACACAAGGAGGGTGAAAGAGAACATTCAAAGTTATCTCACAACTCCAAGAAACTTGGCTTTTTGATGTGCAGGCTGGTAAGAGCAGGCTGTGTTGTAGCCTGCTTGGCTATGCAGAGCTCCCTTCTGTCGAGGAATAGGGGAAAGTAAAGCAAAAAGCTCAACTAATTCAAGCAGATACTGGGAAGGATTCATGGTAAATCATAATCTCGACCTGTGTGGCCAGCAGGTCGAGAGAGGTGATTCTCCCCCTCTACTCTGCCCTCGTGAGACCTCACCTGGAGTACTGCGTCCAGTTCTGGAGCCCCCAACATAAGAAGGACATGGACCAGTTGGAGAGGGTCCAGAGGAGGGCCACAAAGATGATAAGAGGGCTGGAGCACCTTTCCTATGAGGACAGGCTGAAAGAGTTGGGGCTGTTCAGCCTGGAGAAGAGGAGGCTCCGGGGTGACCTTATAGCGGTCTTCCAGTACCTCAAGGGGGCCTACAAGAAAGATGGGGAGAGGCTGTTCAGGAGGGCCAGTTGTGATAGGACAAGGGGTAATGGTTTTAAAATAGAGGGAGGTAGATTCAGATTGGAAATTAGGAAAAAATTTTTTACCATGAGAGTTGTAGAACACTGGAACAGGTTGCCCAGAGAGGTGGTGGATGCTCCATCCCTGGAGACGTTCAAGGCCAGGTTGGATGAGGCCCTGAGCAACCTGATCTAGTTGGAGATATCCCTGTTCCTTGCAGGGGGGTTGGACTAGATGACCTTTGAAGGTCCCTTCTAGCCCTAACCCTTCTATGATTACAAACTGGATTTCAAAAGGACGACTTAGGTGTGTACTGCTCTGAGCTTGCTGGTACTTTAATACCTTCACAGCCCTGTGTGAATCCTCCCACTGAGCACTAAATACAGTGGGGGGAGTTTTCTGCCCCTATAAATGGGACAGACAATAATATATAAGGAAATGCCATGGCTGCTCATTCCATCCGTTTACCTTCCCCCTACATGCAACACACGAGATGCCCCGAATTGGTCCTTAAGCTTCGCCTCATTTCGCAGCCTCCTCTGGCCATGGCCGGCGGTGCTGCAGGCAGCGCACAGCTGCTGGCCGGCCTGGCTGCGCTTCCATGGAGGTCTGCTCTGGGGCTCCCTGTGCTGCCTGGACACAAAGCAGGAAAGCCAAAGGCTGAGAAGGATGTTTGATCCTGTCTCACATCTGCAGACTTTGTTAAGAGGGTAGTGGGGCTGCCTCCTGCTCACAGCCTGAGCATTGTGGTGGAACTGCTAATAGTCAGTTGTAGAAGAATGATAAGTTTGTTTGCCAGCTGTTTATTATTCTGTGTTTATTTCCCTCTGCCGCCTTTTCTGTGCCTTCCCGTAGTGACGCAGGAGGGTCTGCATTGGGGTGCCAATGATGCGAATGGACCAGCTGGCAGAGGATGCTGCAGAGCCAGGTGTACTGCACAGAGCCCATGTTTTGCTCCTGTTCTCCAGCCTCTGCTGGAAGAACTCAAAATGTCCCACATCCAGTTGTCATAGAATCATAGAATGGTTAGAGTTGGAAGGGACCTCAAAGATCATCTAGTTCCAACCCCCCTGCCATGGGCAGGGAAATCCTCCACTACACCAGCTTGCCCAAAGCCTCATCCAACCTGGCCTTGAACACTTCCAGGGATGGGGCATCTACAACTTCTCTGGGCAACCTGTCCCACTGCCTCACCACCCTCTGAGCAAAAAATTTCTTCCTTATATCTAATCAAAATCTGCCCTCTTTCAATTTAAAGCCATTACCCCTTGTCCTATCACTACACGCTGTTGTAAAAAGTCCCTCTCCAGCTTTCCTGTAGGCCCCCTTTAAGTACTGGAAGGCTCCTATAAGATCACCCCAGAGCCTTCTCCAGGCTGAAGAGCCCCAACTCTCTCAGCCTGTCTTCACAGGAGAGGTGCTCCAGCCCTCTGATCATCTTCATGGCCCTCCTCTGGACTCGCTCCAGTAGCTCCATGTCCTTCTTATGTTGGAGACTCCAGAGCTGAACACAGTATTTCAGGTGGGGGCTCACGAGAGCAGAGTAGAGGGGCAGAATCCCCTCCCTCGACCTGCTGGTCACGCTTCTTTTGATGCAGCCTTTTGCATCACGGTTGGCTTTCTGGGCTTCCAGCGCACATTGCCGGCTCATGTTGAGCTGCTCACCCACCAGCACTCCCAAGTCCTTCTCCTCAGAGCTGCTCTCAATCCATTCTCCGCCCAGCCTGTATTTGTGCTTGGGATTGCCCTGACCCTCGTGCAGGACCTTGCACTTGGCCTTGTTGAACTTCATGAGGTTCTCACAGGCCCACCTCTCCAGCCTGTCAAGGTCCCTCTGGGTGGCATCCCTTCCCTGCAGCGTGTCCGCAACACCACACAACTTGGTGTCATCTGCAAACTCGCTGAGGGTGCACTCGATCCCACTGTCCATGTCACCAACAAAGATGTTAAATAGCACTGGTCCCAGTACTGACCGCTGAGGAACACCACTCGTCACTGGCCTCCACTTGGACATTGAACTGTTGACCACAACTCTTTGAGTGCTACCATCCAGCCAATTCCTTATCCACCGAGTGGTCCATCCGTCAAAACCATGTCTTTCCAGTTTAGAGACAAGGATGTGGTGTGGGACAGTATCAAATGCTTTGGATAAGTCCAGGTAGACGATGTCAGTTGCTCTTCCCCTATCTATCAATGCTGTAACCAAATGATGTTGTCCTGGAAAGCAGATGCTGGGCTGGAATTCCCCTTAGCCAATCATAATTATCTTAATTCCCCTTATAGAAACTTTTATTTTAGAAATAGAAGATACAATTTTCTTTTTTTCTAAAAGAGATCAATCAGCATGAGAGCTTGTGACATCTGAAGTGATATTACCTGCTTAATCTTTTTTAGCAGCTCAGGTGGAGATGGGTCCTTCCCTCCCAAGTCTCGCTTTCTGCTTTCATTCACAGGGTCAGCAAATATTTCCTCCATCTGTTTAATCCTGTCCATGCACTGGGAATACTAGGAAACAAAAAGCCACAACAGTTATTTTTTCAGACAAGAAGCCAAAAGCCCCACTATTACTACATGACCAGAGATGCAAGGTCTCCATGTCCCCAGTCTACACCAGGAGAACTGCACTACAGCAGCCTGGGTGTACCAGTGGGTGGCTGCACTGCCAACACCTGGGCTTGCCAGCAAGACTCCAGCCTTGCTGGGAGACGCTTGGGATGCCTGGGCGGTGTAGGACTAAGCAAAACGATACTGGTCAAACACTGGGAAACATTTCCCTACGAAACTGGAGGTGGATATATGTCATTCTCCTGTCCTGTTGCTAATGAATGGGAATTTAAAAAACAGTAGATTGTGTCACAGGTCTTCCTTATAATGTCCAAATATAAATCAGCTTATATCTTATTAATGGTTTAAATGTCTTGAACGCAGTTCCTTTGATTCCTTCTCCATGTGCAACACAACCACCTAAAATCAGGTGTATAAATAATTCAGCCCCACAGAAAGAGGCTTTTTCTCTGAGCCGCCAGGTATCATGACAAGAGCCCTTGGTCAGAAGATGATTTTCACCTTCTGAACATGTTTGGGAAGTCAGAAAAAGGCTGCCCCAGGGGCTGGTACCTTCTTCAGCTTCTGCTGAGTAGCCTGGATGAAAAGCTGTAGATGGTTCAAACCAGATCCTGTCCTTTGGGCCACAGTGGGGTGGGCTCAGGGCCACCCTCCACAGTCACCGTTAGCACGTGGAGAGATGGAGCGCAGCTGCTGGGGCTGGGCAGTGAGCTGAGACCTGCCACAGCTACAGCTCCATCCTGAGGAGGGAGAGAAGCACTGGGAAGGGTGGGAGCCCCCACCGGCACCCACTTCCTTCCCCCCTCCCCAGGTCTCTGCAGCCTGGTCCAGCTGGTGCCTCCAACGGTGGAGGTGACTGCGTGGGTGCAGCGATAGGTGCCTGGGGCTCCTCTGGGACTCGCAATGGGAACATGTCCCTGCCTAACTCACCCCCAGAGCTTGATCCCGCAGACTTAGTGTTAACAGACAAGGTTTCCTTGTGCTGGGAAGGGGAGAGGGTTAACACAAAGGATTATAAGCCACCTGAAATTTATTTTTTAAGGAAACAATAGTGTGGCAGTTGCAGGATGGAAGTGAACTCTGCTGTCTGCCAGAAATTGTCTGCTATGAAATTGTCCCACCTGCTGCTTTGTCCTCAGGCTACTTCTTTTATCCTCAGGAATACACCAAACATTTGAGTTGGAGGGTCTTCCTTTATTCCCTGCAATCTTCTGTTTGACCCACAGGATCCATTTAGGGACATAGGAAGGATACAAGTGCCTGACAGTTTGGTTGCAAGTGAAATCTGGAAGTCCCTCTTCCCCACTGGTTAGCATTAAAGGTCTCATCTCTATAGGCATCCAAGTTTTCTACGTTAAAGTTCCCAGGCACGTGTCCTGAAGTGACTCAGTGGTGACACTGAGCAATGTGGTACTCCCAGTACCCAGAGAGGCAGGTGTTCCCTGACCTTTCTGATCTGAGACCTTCCCATGGAACAACATTTCCCAGAATGGGCTAGTTGAACATCCATGCTTCCCATAAATACTCACTGAAGAAGTGACTGGGACAATTTCTTCATGTTTGGACTTGCAGGACTGACAGTGGTGGGGATTTTTGTGCTTTGATATGCACCTGGCCATCTGTCAGCACGTTGTCACTCCAACCTTGACCTATTAGCTCTAACATAACATGATCCAAGTAAGTCACTAGAAATGCTAACCATGAATTGCAGGTGATGATATTATTAAGGAAGTAAGTGGTCACGGGCTCTTAAAGTTATGAGCAGTCAGCAAAAAGACAAAGTAAATGTTTAAATGTTGCTACTGGGATGGAGTTTGTTCACTGGAAGTTAATGAGTCTTGTTTAACTGGAAAATAGAAAATGGACAGATTGTCTCAGGTCATTATGGAACATTAGTAGAATACTTGTCTTAAATACTTCTTTTTCTGGTAAAAGAGCATCATGCAGCTGGCTTTTTTACACTTTGTCTAAGAGCAGGCAAAGTAAAAACCTTAAATGACTGTAATGAACCGTTTCCTTGGCAAACCATGATTCGGTTTAAAATGAACGCCATTCAGTGAGCAATAGGTATCAGAAGATTTATTTTCATTATAAACAACTAAAACTCCAGCCCAAAAATACAGAGTGGAAGAATGTAAGTGCAGGACCAGCACAAACAACAGGATGCAGGTATGCTTCCAGTGATACTTCCTATCTGGGGCCAGATCTCAACTACTAACTCAGATGAAAATGCCTTGTTGGAGGCAGGCTACCTTAATGAGATTTGGACCATCTCACTAAGTAAAATTTTGCAAGATTGAAAGTTAATTTAGAGAAGATGGACCATTGCAGCAAAACCACTGTCCAAACCAGAAAAAAAAATCCAGAAAAAAAAATCCAGAAAAAGTTTCATGTTAAGCTTAAATACTAGGCTTACTTTTACATGAAATGGGAGTGATTAGATGCAGGCTAATCCAGAAGTATGGAAAACACAGTTAGAAGCACAGTTAGCAGTAACCACGCTATTCTGTGACTGCTTAAGTGATGTGACTATAGGCATCTTTCTTTATTTTCTCCTCATTTGTAGTGTTTTGCTTGGACAAGATTATCTGAGTTCTAAGAGATTCTAGGTCTTAAAAGAAAATCCCTGTCTTTCTTGGAGTGGATTTGATACAGTGGATAGGAACAGGCTCTACAAGAGAGGCTTTTCTATGTTTGATTGTAATCAGTCAGGAGGAATTGTTGAAAGATGAACAGATGAGAGGGAACATGTGCCTAGATAAAGGGACTGGTCTGGAGAAATCGAGGTCTGGTCCTTATTTTGGAAATTTCAGAGAAGGAAGGAGAGGTACGCAGAACACTAGAATCTAAAGGGTAAATATCATACCTATTTTTAAAAATCAGGGGGAAAGGAGCTATGGAACTACAGATAACTTCAGTTTCTGAAGAATAAATCTGGAACAAATCTAAGCTTTTTTTGTAGGTAGTTAGAAAAGTAAAGGAGTATGAATAACAGCCAACACAGATGTGTTGAGTCATGCCAAACCAGATCAGTTTCTTACTATGATAATTTAACAGTTGTGTGGATGACAAATAGTAGGTATCAGACATCTTGATTTTTACATAGCTTCAATATTGTTTCGTATGACATTCTCATAAACAAGCTAAGGAGATGGGATCTTGATGAAAATATAAGGTAAGTACTACATAAGTAGAATGAGGTTAAGCTCAGAGAGACTGCAAATACTTTTTGGAGGAGAAGATTCAAATTCAATATTACCTTGCTTTGAAAAAAGATCTGAACAAAAGAGGTAACATTAAATAACAAATGCAAGGTGCTACGTGTAGGCAGAAAAAATTACCTGTACAAATACAGAATCAAGATCAACTGATTAGATATTTCTTTAGAAAAGGATCTGGTTGTTACATACACTTCCATGAACACGAATCAGTATGTCCTGTTGCAAGAAAAGCTACCATCGTACCTGGACACGTAAGCAGAAATATAATGTGCAAGATGCCTGAATGAATCCTTTCACTCTCACCCATGGATATGAGGCACTGCACCTGAAGAGAAGACTATGTTGCCAAAATAAAAGAAAGACAAAAAAAGAATGATCCAAGAAAGATCCGTAAGGGCTGATGGAAAGAAACCGGATTGTGCAGCCTAGCAAAAGGATGGGAGAGGAACATGACTCACTTTCTTCCAGTAACATGAAGTGTTGTTGCAGGGAGAAAGAGAATGATCTGTCGTGTCCCTGGTGGACAGAACACAAATCAATAGGGTTACATTGCAGCAAGAAATATCCAGGCTAACGGTTAAGAAAGATCTTTCCACTGTTAAGGAAGCACTGGGATGGCTGGCTGAGGAAACTGGAGTTTCCCAGCGATGGTTTGAAAGCACAGCTTAGCCCTCAGGACTCACAGGGAGTCCTATGCTAGAGTAGGAGCAGGATTGCCTAGATGAACTCCTTCTCTCTCTACTAGTCCCATTCTTCTATAGCTGCAATGGTGTAGTCTGGAGATTTTCATAGGGTTGTATTAAATAAATTGGATAAATGTTGATGCCAAATGCTTCAACGAAACTGTCGGTCCCTGTTATGTTAAACTCTGAGCCATGAAAGTTCCATCTACAGCGTCTTGACAGCTCAGCAGGTCCTCATGTTGGACTAATTCATGCTTAATGCTGAGTATCTCTCACTGATGCATGAAGGCAGATTAGTTTTCATCGGTCGTCTCAGCCAGCGGGAACAGTCCCTTGATGTGCAGTCCCAATTAAAAGTTACATAGTTTTATGCCCAGGGAAAACTACCTTAGAATTTCACCAGGTATTTTTTGTGTCAGATAAAGGAAGCGCAGGAGTACAGGAGACCCAGGCAAATTTTTTTTTCTTCCTGAACTGGCACACAGCCCTGATCTGTGCTTTTCCCCTTCCCAATGGGTACTACAGCTGTCAAGATATGGGGTCAGTTTCCACAGCCTATTGAATACAATGTATTCATTCATCCATCTATTCCAAGAGGTACATCTGTAACAGAAATAGATATCCCATCTCAGAACAGCTAATTTACTGATTAAAGCATCCGTTGAGACTATGTGAGACTGAGAATCAGTGTCTCTAAAAAAGTCAAAAGATCTCAGTCAAATGCAAATGAACAACAAATACTGAAACTTTTTCTATTTCATGAGGCTTGATCTTGTTTTCCTTTCAGATTTCTCTCTATGTATTTCAAGTATTACCAATGACGGGTATCTGTTGTTGGAAAATCATTCAGCATTCAATACTAGAAAGTTTAATTCACCTGTGGAGGGAGAAAAAGGAAAAAATTCTGGCGTTAAGGGAAAGTTGGGAAAGCAGGAGAGGAGAAAACTAGTACAGATAAGAAGATGATCACAAAGTCTGAAAAATACCCAAGATTTAAGGAGACAGGAAGGGTAGGAAAAAGAGAAGAATAAAATTTAAGAGATGCAAGTACAGGATTCAGCCTGCCTAATTAAAATGATCTAATGTTCTAAACTGTATTTCAAATATAGGAGCCCTTTGAAGTATCCTTCTTAGATGATTCAAAGGTTTCTTTCAATCAATGGGGAGAGGTAGGTGCCTTGAGAATAAAGACCTCCAAGAGAAATATTGTGCTCCCTAAGTTGGGATATAACCTATAACAATAGCCTCCTTTTGATGGTGACTTCAGGCTTCATATGAACCATCATCACAAAGGAGAAAGTTTAGGAATGAAGAACAGAAAAGTCAAAGTTTCACGATTGACTCAGTTCACAAAAATAATCTGCATTTTTGTTACTGTATTTGACTCAGTGACCCTCAGTCTCATTCTAAATCTTATCTCAAGATATTTTTTATTTCTTTAGTCTATCATCTTTCTTTCATACTTCCTCTGTTCATCATTTAAATCTGTAACAGCACTGTAAAGTTCTTCGGGCTATAATTTGTATAAGGTATTGTACAACATTTTATTCTTTTAGCAGAGCATACAGCTTCTTTAGAAGGCCAGAATTAACAGAAAAGTGCAAGCACTATTTAACAGTGAATCACGGCTTCCATCGATGTAACTACAAATGGCAATGGTACACCCTAATTTATGATTTTGTGCAGACACTAACAGAATATGTATGGAAAAAATTACCATCTGGAGATAAGGTCAAAAGTAAATGAGCCATTTCAGAAAGCAAGGAAAGAATGTCCCAAACAATGATGAACACTGCAGTTTGTTAGTTGTTTAATGTCATGTTGTAACTAGAACTAAAACTTATACTGTTTTTGTGTAGAAGAAAATATATGTGGATTATATCATTGTAGGCAGCAGAGTTTCCAGAGTAGGCTCAGGGTCAAGTGTGAATTGAGTTATTATTTTAGAAATTTGAAGAGCTAAGTATATCTCCCACCCCTCCACCTACCCCCATCAATACAGTTTTAACAAATTTTATCTGCATTCCCATTTTTTCCCCATGACTCCCATTCTCCAGCTTAGTCATACTGACATTTCAGGCTATGGGGAGAGTTAGCTGAAATTCCATACCCAGGAAGCCTTTGGCATGTGCATAACAAAGTGTATCAGCCAGTTACACAAAAGCGTAGAAACTCACATATCTGAAGTTACAAACATGCATCAGTGCTTTGCTAGACAGGTGTGTTACTGAACTTTATGCTTTAATAAACTTTGCACATGCAGACATATATTTTTGCTATGAAGTTACCTTAAGTTTTAAAATACAGAATAACGCAAACAAAAACAAGGCTTGCTTTCCCACCAACCTGTATCTGAAGCACCACCAGATGTGCATCCAGGGCATTCTTTACTGGGAGTGTTTTTAAACCGGATTGAATCTGTCTCTTTTTCTCAGCTACCTTCATCTTCAGAAATCTGATCTTTTCATCCGTAACTTGCATCTCCATATCTGCATTGCTACACAACATCTCTTGCATGTTTATTTTTTCATATAAAATGCATAGTTCTTCTTCTCGATTTCTGAGCAGAAGACCACTGCAATAAACCCAAAATGAAAATGTAAAATTTAAAAAAAAAATTGATTCATATTCAGCATATTCCATTCAAGAACACTTGTGTACATACGTAAGTAACAACCTTGAAAGATAGTAATAATCTGGAAAAACTTAGAACATTTTAAATAGGTAACAACATAATTACAATATGAAAATCAGAGAACCAACAAGTGCAAAGGTTGACCTAGTCTCTTAAACAATTTTAAAAGCTCTTCTTTTAATTTACAAATGGATTAACATGATCACGGAGCTTCACATCTTCTGCATTTTTATACCTTATCTGCGCACAAAGCACAAACAGAGCAGGAAGCTACAAGCTCTCAAGGTATTCAGTAGCCAATCCACTATATTTTTTAATAATAGTTCTGAAGAATGAACATCTTTATCAATGGAGAAAAAACATCTGTGTAATGCAAAGCAGCCCTGACATTGCAGGGAGGCAGACTGCAATATTTCACTACTAGTGAAATATTGTAGTGAGACAGTCTTTTAGTATTCCTAATTTGGAGTGCTCATAGTTGAAAAATATTGTTGACTCATGAATGTCAAAATTAAACACTATATTACATCAAATTTACATGTATACCTCTCATTTTGTTGTTGAATAGCCCTTTCATATTTTTTGCACAGCTGCACATTTTCCTCTTCAATGTGGGTGACCGTATTGGTAAGCCTCTCAAGATCCAGACACCGTTGCTTTGTCTTTTCTTTCATCTCATGCACGGTTTGTACAATTTTGCAATAATCACTTTTGAGCCTGTCTGCAATTGCTACCTTATTTGCATTCTTCAGATGTTGCTTCTGCAGTTTTCTTTAACATAACAGAAAAGTAGGAAAGTTTTTAGTCCTTTCAATTCGAAAGCAATTGCAGCAACTAAAAGCAGACATTAAACTAATCCCTCAAATACACAAAAGATCTTCTCTGTCACTCTATTTCACAGAAGCATTACAGGTAGAAAGACTCTCTGAGAACAGCTCCTCTCTGCAAGCTCTTTCCAGCTTGAAGAGAACTGGATTATGGCCCCAAACAATGCTATATACGGAGTTCTGCACTACAGCTCTTTTCTTCTCCGCTGGGTAGCCCAAGGGGATGTAAGAAATAAAGATCAAGAGTAGAAGCATAAACTGTGATGCAAAGTCTTAATCTGTAGAAATCCTGCCCTACTATTTAAAGAGAGAGAAATAATTTTGTGGTTGCCATTCAAAGGTGTTCAAGGTTATTGTTTAAAAAACCATGTATTGCAACATTCACACAAAAAGAAAATTATCAGTTTCCCTGTTTGACAGATGAGAAAAAAAACAATCACAATGAAAGGTTAGTGACAAGATCACGTTATAGACCCATAAAACAAAGAACAGAACTCATTATTTCCAGCGACCTTGCTGGCCACTAGGTGATAGATCCTCAGTTAAAATACAGATTCTTGTTGCCACACAGATCATTCATTTGCTCACGACATGGAACTTAGAGTTCCTGCATTGGATTGTGGTTAAGTATCACCTTTGATCAAGTATCACTACTTCATCTGCACTGGAGAGATTTTCACGTCAACATACAAAAGAGGCAGTGAAAGGAGAAGCATAGTCTCCTGTTAAAACACAGAACAAATATTTTGTCTCCCTTCATGGGCTCCATCGTTGCGTTGCTGAATTACTCCATACAAAGCAGGGAGCTTCCTTCTGGTTCATTTTGCCCGTGTGTGTAACACTTCCCAGATCCACAGGGTATTGCTGAATTGAATTAAACTTCTGTAAAGCAAGTTTCAGACTGAAAGCATGACAGTATTGCAGAAATGCAATGTGTTATTAAACATTTTCTGAAAAACCTTTCTCTTATTTGGACTGGTACTCTGTCTGTCTGTCCTCCAAATTGTGTAGGTTGCAGTTAATCAGTGATATTACAATACTAAAGTCTATTAATGGGATCAAAAATATTTTCCATAGGCAAAAGAATTACTGATAATTCAGTACCTCTTGCTAGTTTTAAATCGAGGTTTGCAGAGATCAAAATGTCTGTTGGATCTTTACTCCAGTAGGGTCATCTAAGATAACGAGATGTTTCTGCTATCTAGACAATATATAACTGTCTTAGCTTTTTTTTCCCCCCTCTTTTCACCAGTAATTAATAGGGAAGAAATCAAAAATTTTAGCACAAAATGTCAACTTGTGCATCTTGACAAAATCACTTCAATCACTGAAGTCCACTTCTCTTCTAGCTACCTCCAGCGTGATTTTGAAATCAAGCTAATCAGAGATTCACGATATACTTTGAGTGCATGTACCCTGAATGCATTCTTCGGCCCAGTTGTGCCATTTTTTGGAAAGGAAAAAAAGTTTTGGGAAAATCAAATTATTTTTAAACTACTCTGTTTTGGCTGTCCTGTTTCGCATAGACAGTTCACTAGTTTCCTACCTTCCCAACTGCTGATTTGAGAGACACTGCTGTTCCATCTGTATTGCAGAATATCAACACTCGGATGCCAAAAAGATAACAAAAAGACATCTCCATGAAATAATGGTCTAGAAAAAACAAGAGTCATATGCACTGACTGTCTACCTCATCCTCTTTGTTGGGACTGGAACCTTTCATTTTGACTAGGATTGCCTGGAAATTGAAACCATATTTTGTTTGATCTGAAATAAACCTTATTCAATAAACTCCAATTTGAGTTTGAACCAAGAAACCCAGTTTGTTCTAATTTAATAATTAGACAGCCGCGTTACTAGCTAGTGACTCATTTAATAGTACCATGCACCAGTCTATTGTGGAATCACATATGTATTGGACCACTTTTTATCTAAAGATAAACAAGTGTGAGTATAACAGCGTTGTTCCTATTGAATGAAATAGCACAATAATGCAGATATCAGAAGCTCAAGAACTGTGATACAAAGGGAATGTGATGACAATTTACCCTTTCAAAGGACAGGAAAGTAAGAGAGCAGCCAGACAAACGTCAAAAGTGCTTCGTGCCATGCAGCGATGCTCAAGCCTATTGTGAAGTGTTAGGGTGACAAGAAATTGGAACAGATTATGTAAGAGTGTAGCTAAATGTCTTTGAATCAGGTTTTAAAAATCAGAATAACTATCAAGGATGATATAGCCATAGCTGAAGTTGGACTAAATTACCTCTTTCTAATCTTACATTTCTATTATTGTGATCTACAGCTTATTTAAAACTCACCTTTCCTGAGTTATAACAGTATTCCTTAAATTTTCTATTTCATTTGCTAGCAATTTTACCCGTTTTTTAATTTCACTTGCTTTTTGCTGAGCAGTGTGCACCAAATTTATATATTTATTCCTTTCATTTTGGATACCATTATATATTTTAGCAAATCCTTGGAGTCTGAAGAAATGACAAATGTGAAAGAAAAAATTACTGTAATTTTATGCATACGTTACTTGGATAAAAATTGCTTTAAAAGACATTTATTTTCTTACTTTTTTTTTATTTCTCTTTTCCTCTTTTTATACCCTCTTATTTCAAGATCCTTTCTTTTTGTTTCTTTAATAATATTTTGGAGTTGTATCTGAAATTTAAATAGAATTCAGTGAGCACTTTAGCACATCAAAGAAACATCTTCAAAGAAATGACTCAGAAGAGCTATTCCTCTTAGATGAGGAAAAGACAGAGGTGAGATTATTCTAAGAACTTACCCTAATTATAATGAAATGCTTTTACTGTAATAACATTAAAGAACATAGTCTTTCTATGTATATTAAACTTACAATCACTGTTATTAATGTAGATAATTTCATGTTGCATCTTAAAATGCTTGGTCCCTTGTAGCTGGAGTTCTACTGTTTCTATTAATCAATCCCTTGGTTCCATCACTATACAATTGCTTGACATATGTACCACTGAAATTGTACCTTTTCAAATAAAATTCCTTTTTTGCTCTTTTCTGGTTTTTAAGCATTCACCAATGCTTGAGTAGAATGGTACATTTAGATTTTGTTACGGCTCTAGACCTTTTGATTTCAGTTGTGTTCAGTCTTCAATAGCCTGTGTCATCAACCTTCAATGGACGGGCCTTTTCTCACCTCCCACTGGTATCAGGAGGAGGAGACTGGTATTCAAAAAGGTGGATGTTGGGGTGCAACTCTGGGCGCGTGTGTGTGTTCACTACTTTGTACTGTTAATTTTTTTGATCAGTTTAGGACTGATTTTTATTGAAGGTGCAAAGCTTGACATGTTTGTTTACTCTATTTTTATAGACAGTCAAAGAGTCCCAAGGTGCTAGAAGTGTAGCTCATACAATTTATTTGAATACAGACAAACGTTGTGGATCTTCATATACAGTTTGTTCCCATGTACAAACAGTGCAACATCACAGCACATATATGATACTATAACGCCAGCAAACTGCAGGCAGTAAACGCAGTGAATAGTCCTAGTTTCTGTGACAGAAGGAAAAGTTTTCTTCCCATCTTTCTTCACATGAATATAACAATTTACACCTGGAAACGTGTCAGGAGAATAAAAATTGCTGCCTCTCCTTGGAATGAGTAGCACTTCTGTTTATCTTTTAATATCTATATATTTGTAAAATAAAACACATAGTTGTACTTCCATGAATCTTAGTTGAGGCTATCTGCTTTTGTGCTTCTTTATTCCACAGGCTTGAAAGAAAATGTCCTTTCAAATACCTTTTTTCAATTGTGGCATTATATTTCAATATACTATTGCACTGCACTATAAATTGCAAATAAAAACCACAGTATTGTGAGCATCCTGTGCTGCAATGGAACTTCGAAGTAAAGTGGGAAATGAGAGTCCATAAGGCTCTAATGTACTAAATTTCTAAATGTACTCTCACTAGTAATTTAATTTCTGCATGTATCAGCTTTGACTTTAGAAGAGTCTTCCAATTATATGAGAGAATTTTTTACCTGGGCTTTCTGAACATCCCTAGATTTCTGTTCCCTCTCTTCAACTTTGAGCCGAGTCAGATGTGCAAGTCTGGATAGCTCATCCCTGCATTTTTCCTGCTCTTTGAAAAGCTGGCCTTCTTCAGCAATACATTCTTCTAACACGTGGGCATCCGTATCTGACATCATTTCCTAAAGAAAGTTAAATTCAATTCCTTATGTGTCAATGCATCAGTGCTGGCAAACCCAAAGCTGGAAATACTTTGGGTTTATCTGCAACATACACATATATACAGACTACATGGATTAAAAAAAAAAAATAAAAAATATTGCTTTAAAACACCAGCTGAAACACCATGCATGATCCTTACAATAACATTTCAAAATACCTTATCACCTAGAAGCATTTCTGCTCCTCAATCTAGCATGTATTTCAGCTATTGCCCACTGGGCAGAATGGTTCCTTATGGCCATATAATCTTTAAATAAGTTTACAGTCAGGTCTTGACATGTCAAGCTTTCGCATTAAGGACTAAATTTAGACATTTAAAACAAAACGGAGCATCTAGATGCCTAGAGTTGCTGGAGATTCAGTCAATACAGTTGGTGAACTCTAAAGAGCTAGTTGTTCTACCCAGCGTAGGCTAACCTCTTCAGGAGGAGGTGAACGGATGGCTTCCAAGGCTCCACGGACTACATGACTAGATCGTTATTGACTATCATGGCACATTAGATACATATCCCATAGACAAATAGTGACATGTAGATACCAAATGTATATGTATTCAAACACAAGCTGAATATCACTTGATAGTGCTAACAAATTCAAGGACAGCACAAAAAGAAAATGGATATAAGGGCAAGAAGATTAGGAGGCACGACCTTAAGAAGAAGGTATATGTACTGCTTCTTATAAAGCCATTTATATAGTGGCAAATATTAAGACTCTCACAACTGAGACATCTGCATTTACATATTGCATTTACATATTGCTGTGCTGAGTATAGACGGACAGCCACAAATGACAAAACTGTGAAGATGAAAAACTATAATGTATGAATGCTGAATTGTCCTTATTTCAACAAGACATTCTACCATATTCAAAGGAAATTTATACCCACCGTATTTCTAGCTGCAATGTAGTTAACAGTATTCAGAAAGACTTAACCTAGAAAGTAAATCTGCTTTCTGCCTTCCAATATGTGACCAGTAACATCAAAAAAGGTTTCTTACATATAAGAAACAAGCGGTCTTTAAAATCGAACAAATACTATTGCATATTTTCTCACCAGAAAGCTGCAAATAGAAACTCCCACCATTTTTTCTTCAAACCGCCCCTTTATTCTCATGATTGAAAACTAACTCTTATGGTGAAAAAGTATGAGAAAGTAGAACTCAGCACCTGTTCAGCTAAACTTCTCTTAGTCATTTCAATTTCCTTCTGCAGTTCTCGTCGTCTTTCTAATAATACTGCATTACTTTTAGAGATGGATTCTGCCTACAAAAATAAACCAAGAACACTGAGTGATGCAAACAAAAGATGTGAAGAATGTAAACTGCAGATAATCTATTTGAAGTAGTTACACACATTAAGAAATGATTGTTTTTTGTCTTATTACCATAGTTAGTTCAAAAGTTTGTCATTGAATGGAGTTCCTCAGCAACATATCCAAGTTTCTCAAATTTTTCTTTTAAGAGTTTAACTGTAAACACTGAATTTCACAAATCCCAGTTTAGGTACTGAATTTGTAAGGGTTATGTTTTTCAGCAACTAAACTGTCATTAAAAAAAAAAAAATCACAGAGAGCAACTATGCAAAGATGTCACCTTCTAAATTCTCAGAAGTTTTTCTGAGTGATATTCTGACCTTACTAAAAGAAAAAATAGATTTACCACTGATTTTAATAGGGTCGATATCACATCTGTGTAGATTTGATATCATAGTTTTTGCTTTTATTTATTAAAGTAAGATTTTTCCTCCTTAGGCCCTAGAAAGTCAAAACTAACACCACAAACAGTTATGTATAATTTTTTCTTGTGCATTCTGGAAAAATTTGTTTATTCAGTCTGATTTTAAAGTTGTGTGAAGGAAGACACATTAGAAACTCCTTTCTGATTAAACTATATCTGAGCAATCCCACTACAACTACTTGTGTGATATAACTCATAAGGTAAAAGGTTGTATTTGCCTCACAGTGATTACACTCAAAAATTCCTTACAGTTATAAGTAAGAAAGCAAGAAATACAGCAGGCTAACTATGCAGGCATATGTTGCCTATCTGTAATTGCAAATCTGTAATTCATACGGATGGGAAAAAAGCGACACCGAACGACACATCTGGAAGCTATTCAAAGATAATACATGCAACCCCATGGAATCTTTCTCAGATCTCAACCAGATGTTAGGAGTCCGAAACACTATACCTCAATATAGATCATGAGATGTTTTGCACTTATGGTTTTCACTTCTGTGATAATATTGTAAAATTAGATATTGTTTACTTGCATAAGGGAAAGGGAAAAAAGAGGCACAGTAAAGGTCTGCCTTTGGAGTTACTTTGGTTTCAGCTTCTGCCTTTGGAGTTACTTTGGTTTCAGCTGCCAACTGAGACAGATTCGGTTTGACTTAGGTTTGCTAAAAGGTCAGTAAAACCCGTTCTAAGCAAGTCGCTTTCACTCTGGTGGAAGGAGCAAACACAGCCTTTCTGTGGAGCATGTATTAGTTACCACTTCTGCTGTGTAAAAGGCTGTTGGGGCTGTAAGCAGGCATTTCCACATTTTCAAGATGGGATTCTAAAGATGCCATCAAGTTCTTGAGTCTGAAAGTAGAAAGCTCGTATAAACATCTTTTATCCATTAAGGACTTTCGTTCACATAAGACAAGACTAAACTTAGGCACTTTTGGCTGTCTCTGCGTTGGCCTGACGAAGAGAAGGCATGCATGGAGAGGAGGAGCACTTCTGCTCTGGGCTGGCGATAGCTGGAGCGGCCAGTTCTCTTTCACACAGAATGTCGGCGTTTAGCAATAGCTGACCTTTCACAATTTACCAAGAAGAAAAACACATTTGAAGGAAGTGTTTCTGTAATTTCCTTATTCTACAAACCAGTCATTCTGCACTTAGCACGTGATTTAAAGTAAGAGAAATTTGGGGAAGCACACTGAGGTACTGCTGCTTCTGCACTCACATTTTTATACTAGCAATTAATTCTTGTGTTTTTTTTTTTTTTTTTTTTTTTTTTTGCTTGGAATCACACTGAATAAATATAAATCTGGCTTTTTAAGTAGCTAAAGGAATTAGTAGTTAAAGTTGCCACTCTAGTGTGCTGTGTTTGAACTGACCATGCTGCAGAGGAGTGGTTATTTCACATTTGCTCTTCTAGAAAAGCCAGGAAAGGAATCAGAGAAATCATAGAGCACGGGAGGACAGGCTAAAATGACTATATTGCTATGACCTGTTTGTGTAGAGGGTAGCATTCTGCAACTTCTGGAGTAAAATATTGTGTAGAATTTCACTTCTATCTCTGCTGGCATTCCCTTTCCTCCACTCTTCATGATGACACAACATGCAAGACACATAAAAGCCTACAGGATAACCTAGCATTAGCACTGAGGGGATCCTTTGCAGTGCAACTTAACCTTGAAGGGTCTCATTACAGGTCTCTTGCCCTTTCACACAGCATAAAGGGGTTGGGTTGGGTTTGGATCTCAACCAAGACAGTGAACTCTAACCACAGCTGTCGGGAGTTATGGCATTCAATTTTAGTATTTCATGGTTTTGAACTATTGTGATTCTTGGAATATTTCTTCAATAGGAATACAGGAAAAAAAAAATGTTTCCCAGATTCTCTAAGCTGATACTGAACAGAAATTCAGTATGAGCTTTAAGATCGAAGTCTGTAACAGGAGTCACTCCTTTAATCAATATTTCAGGAAATTCAATCTAGAACTTTTTTGTGTAGTTACAGAGCTTTCCTCCCTCCTCTCAAGTGGGCTTATTAGCTAGGTAGTTAATACACATGTGAATTCAGGAAGAATTTCAGGGGAGACAGAAAAAAGTTTCTATTACTTAATATTAAATATTATTGAGTAACGTTTAAAGTTGTTTAAATAGTAAAGCTAAGTATGTTTGATTTTTGATACCATAGAATCATAGAATCATAGAATGGTTAGGGTTGGAAGGGACCTCAAAGATCATCTAGTTCCAACCCTACTTCCATGGGCAGGGAAACTCTCCACTACACTACGTTGCTCAAAGCTTCATCCAACCTGGCCTTGAATTGCTTAGAAGGACCAAGAAAAATGTCAATGACACTGTGTATCTTGTTAGGAAACATCGAGTCTTTATGCTCTTAACTCAGATAATGGATATTCTCCTGTAAAAAATGTTCACCTGACTAAGCAAGATTAATTTTATAAGACTGACATACAATTTAGACTAAGCAAGGAGCTAGTATAGGAGAACTGCTTAAGAAAGACAGAACGGAAGAACCAGTGATGAGATGAAGAGAATATGACAAAGTTACAGACAAAGTAAATTGTTACGAAATATTTGGAAGGAGAAAAGAAAGGAAATGTTTTGAATAGACAAGCAGAATGAGACTGCCCTTTAAAATCAGCATAGTGGAAGGCACAAATAATATAGAAAAGAGTAAATCAGTATGGAAAGAGGAATGGGTGAAATACTAATGCAGAGAGGAAATGAGGAAGGTGCAATTTGAGCGGAAAGGAAGAAAACCTAGGGAATTATGTCATATCATTTAATACCAAACTTTATATAGTGATAGTTTTCTGTCCCCTGGAGTAATGTTAAATACATTCTAAATTGTTTACAATAATGCACAAACAACCTTCAGATTTTAGAAAGATGTGTGCTTTCATCATCTGGGAGTCAGGTAGCACTTGGCTCTATTTTTCTGCTACAAAATTCTTTGATGCCAATGGGCAAGTCACTGTATTATTTCACTCACAGAATGACCATAATCCCACAGTGCTTTAAAGGAAGACTTGATGTCACAGTGTCAATATAAGCTCCCAGTTCTCCTTGACAGGATGCTCCCACCCTAAAATCAGTTTCTTAAGAATAGCCCAAATATATCTTACATATATTACAGCCAGAGCACCTAGAGGTGTCTTTGTTAGTCGTAGCGTTGCTGACATTTTTCTCCCCTTCCCTCTTTTAGGATCAGTCATAAGATTTCATAGACAGATTTCTTACAAGAAAATTTAGAATTGTTATGATCACTATATTCATACAGACCTCTAATTTGAGCTTGTTGTGCTGTGCTTTATCTTGTTCCAAGGAATCATAAATCATATTCAGTTGTAACTCCATCTTTTTTAAATTTCTCAGTTCTCTATCTTTCTGTGTTTTCTTGTGAATGAGAATATCATGTTGCTTTTTTTTCTCCAAAACACATTTATTTAACTTTTCTTCCAGTGCTTCCCTATATAGATAGACACAAAATTTTAGAAACAGGTAACTTGCACAAGACATATATGCAAATAGGCATGATCATTTTAATGAGGCTTGAGTACTGCATCATTATAGCTGACCAGCAAAATAAACTCATAAACTACTGACACAAATTACCTAAGAAGGTAGCATTTTTATAACTTTAATCAAAGGTGATACTCCTAATGATGTTAATGAGGTCTCACAATCTGTTCTAAATACGCTAAAAATTCCAGTGAAAATATTACTTATAAAAAGAAAACACATTTTTCAGTATGGGGGAATATTTACATGATCACTTCATTCAAACATTTCAATTTAAAATGCCACTATCCTTTAATAGGAAACTTTAAAGGCAGAAGCATTGCTGCTTAGCATATGGTCATTCAAACATTTCAATTTAAAATGCCACTATTGCTGCTTAGCATATGGCCATGATTACAACTATACGCCTTTCTCTGCAAAGAAAGAATAATATGAAGCCTGAAATCAACCAAAGAGTTTATTTTACTTTACCAAGTATATATAAGCTCGTAATTCAAGGGAATATTAAAGAGATGAGTAGCCAGTCCCTACTGAAATTCAGGAGTAATATGGGTGCAGAAATCTATGATCCTCACTTGAAAATGAAAACATTGTCATATTTATTCTTGCTCAATTTACTTTCTATGCATTACACAGAAAAAAAAAATAATATTTTCACTGGAGAGAAAAACCCTCTAAAAGTTTCTTTTTCAGAACAAAATCCAGTTTCTCTTTCCCAGGATTTCATCAAACGCTTACGCTTGAAGAACAAGCCAGATCCTAGATTCCAGTAGTTTATATAAACATTTCTGAAAAAAAAAACAAGCCTGATAATTTCTAGTCTGCACTGGTTGCAGCATAAAACTTGAAAACATAAACAATATAGCAGAAAAAAAAAGAAATAGAACTTTGAGAACAGAGAACTGTTCACTCATACAACATGGCTTATGTCTACTACTCTAACCTGTCTGATAGGGCTGCTGATTCCTTCTCTCTGCTAATTTCTACTAATTTTGTCAAAGTGATGCATTCTTGTTCTTTGCTTTCTAGCAAAATCTTTTTCTCATCCAATTCCTTCATTACATCTTCTCTTTCTTGCAAAATCTCTTCAGTCCTTTTTTCAATGGCTTTCAGGGTACCATTCAACTCTTCTATTTGGTCATTAAGGGCCTCTTTCTCCTTCTCTGCATCACTGTGGATATATTTTAACAAAACAGTAGGGGTTCACATTTCCATATATATATTTAAATGGCAAAATGTAAGTTGCCAGTTTTCATGGACACACAAAACCACTTCAACACCACAACTATCTACATTATATGTCTGAAAGCAGACTACATACAGTGAAAATCTTCAAATGCCAATACAGTTGAACAATAAAATTGAAGATGGCCATGGGACTAACAGGGAGCTTAGCACCATGACAGTATTTAAAAAGACTTGTAGCAAACTTATTTCAGTCAAAATTACCAGGTACATGGGTGTGACACTTCTACATATGATTCACCAGGCTGCAAACTGTAGCTAGTTCATTCTGTGATGTAACACAAGTAGAAAGACTCATTTAAATGCTTCATTAATAGCAATCTACATGAGATACTAGCTTTTTAAAATTCCTCCTCTGTAACACTATAGGAAAAACTTATATTTGTGATAGCGGAGTTGCATTAAGCAGAGTAGGAAGGAAAATGTAGAAGACAATCATTATACAAGTTTTAAAACAGGGAAATTTAACATAGTCAAATGATTTCTATATTACAAACAGGGACTGCGAGCAGGAGACACAAAAACTTCAGTGTAACCTTATGCCTGAGCAGGGCACAAAAAACATCGTTCATCTGGAAGGCACTTGGATCTGTGAGTGACCTGGCTGAAACTGCACAGTGCTAATTCGATTTTACATGTACAGAAAGCAGCGTGTCATGCTCCAGGGGAGAAAAAACCCAACTATGCAAAACAGAGAAAGAAAAGGCTGGCTACTGGATTACATTTTCCCGGTTGAAAGCACCTCCGACTAAAGACTGGTACAGAAGTATCCAGGGAGAATGATTAGCTCAGGCCAGACTGTTACACGTGAAAGTCTCTTTCACTGAGGCCAACGGAGATAAGCTAATACACAGTCACTGAGGACTAGAAACTGTAAAAAAGCCTAAGCACTAGATTACATAGTAGCATTATTTTCCTTAAAAACCTACTAAGTAGGCCTGATATATAGTAACACAGCACAGTAAGATGATTCAGCAATTTTCGACTGAGCTTTTTTCTTAATTTTTCTTTGTTGCACTTAAATTTACAATGTTTCACTGCATATACTAAATTGTCAGTACGGTGCATGGATTTTAAGTGGATTATAGATGATTTTTAAGATGCTGACCCTAATTTTAAAGAACTATACTCAACTGGCTCTGTAACAAATGGATGAAAATAAGTTATACATATATATATATATAATTATTTATTAAAAGCATACATTTTTTTCCGATTCATCTTCTCAGTTTCTTTTCCAAGTTGTGCAGGAACACCAAGGATCTTAACTAGCTCATCCTAGTGACAAAACACAAAAGTTAGATTAATAGCCTCTAAATCTGGTGAGATTTCACAGAAGTAATATTCACCTGGAATTGCTGTGGAAATGGGCAGGAAAAATATTTTCAAATTACTTAAGCTTGTCCCAGGGAATTGTAGCTGCTACTTTGGGAACTTAACATTGATATTTACCATTTCATATGTCTGCAAGATAAAAAATGTGCTTAAATATTACTAATATATGCGATTATGTTACCTATACCAGGAAAGGAAAGCGGCAAAGACCTGGGTATGTTTTTTAATTCTCAGCATACATCTGTATTAACTTGGATCTGAGCATATGGTATAGCAGCCTACAATAAACAACATAGCAAACAGGTCATTATAGAAACCATTTTTAATCAAAACCATGGCTATTATTATTTCCTAAAGGAGTAATAATCATATGGCACAGCAGCATGTTCCATGCCTATTGAAAAATGATGTAATATAGAATGTAATGCTATCTAATGAACTTGGAATGACAAACAACATCCAGAATATTCATCATTTCCTTGGACGAAGCATGTACACATCTACAAACACATACACACACACACACATACACACAGTTAATTTTGTGTTACTTTTAAATTAGTCTGCTTATCCAGAAGTTTTTCCATTTCCTTCTTATCTATTAACATCAGCCTTTGCTTGGATGAAACATCTTCCTTTATTGCATTAATTTCTGCTTTCCTTTGGATTACTTCTTTGCAGAGCTCATCACAGTTTTCTTTCAACTGTTTAATTTTCTTATCTGATGCCTTTAAAAATGAAGTAAAAGATCAGATTAATTTTATTTTCCCTTTTACATTTTGCAAGATTGTGATATTATAGCATCATTAACACTGAATGATGATAACATTTTTACAAGAATGTGAAATATAATTTGCTACAAGCTATGTGTTTCTTCCATCAATAACCAGCGGAGTTTTATTTATAACAAAACCATATTTATTAATCAGGATTTATGACTGCAAATTTATTTTCCATACTCATATCCTAGATCCAAAAACCTGCAGCTATTTTTACAAACAGTATCCATTGTAGTAAAAAATTTTCTTGAGTAAACTCAAGAAAATCCAGATCTTTTTGAGTTAGTTATTCATTGCTTGCCCTAGAGTTATAAAACAAGAATAATATAATATAGCGTCTCCTGTAAAATCTACCTCTTGATTTTTCTGTGTATTCCAGACTTCAAATAAACTGTAGAGCCACATACTATGCAAACATTTTCACTGATGTTTTAATATGTTAGCTGACAGAACATAAAACATGGCTTTTCTCATGTTTCATACTTACCCTCTGTTTTGGAATTCTTTCATATTCATTTTCTAGAAGCTTTTTTTCTTCTTGCAAGCTACAGGAAAATCAAAACAGAGCTAAATATATTAGTAATAAAATAAATATTACTATAATATAGTAAATGGTGAAGAAGTATGGAAGCCTATCTTGTGTTAGACTAAAATGTGTGGTGAATTATCTTCAGGGACAACTGAAAGGTGTTCAGATTTAAAGGAAGGTTGCTGACTGGTAACTGGAAGTCCTGAAAGACAGGCTATACATATGCGTTTTTTTTCTACAGTGCACACTTATAGACTTTTGAACTTGATTCTTCTTAGCCTTACCACTTCCTGCAGGGATGCTTTTATGTCTCATTCCTCTTTGTCTTTATACTAGCAGAGTGTAACAGGTCAGACAGCACCCTACAACCACAGTTCTTCCCAACCTCAGAAAACAAAATTTTAACATGGAATTGAGGCAAGAGGAAAGAAGAGGTGGGTTATAAATATCCATTGAGACAGCACACATCAAAGAAAGTGCAGTTGCTAGTGAGAAACTTTCTTCTTCCTTTGAGCAATTGCCCACGCACTCATTCACACTGTAAACAACTGTAAGTGAAGCTCCTCAAACCTGAACAGGCTCCTGTGAAAAAGAGTCCTGAAAAGTGACAGGGGATGTAGACTAAACCAATGGGGTACAGTAGAAAACTAAATTGAACAGCCATGGTGATGTTAACCTATATCTAAAACTAAGCCGTGATTTGATTTCAGGGAACAATAGAGACAGATGTCAAAGAGGGAAGGAGGAAATGGAGAATAGGAAAGCTCTTGGATCTTCTGGGTGTCCTGGTTTTAGCTGGGACAGAGTTAGCTCTTTCTTCTTAGCAGCTAGAAGAGCTCCGTGTTTTGGTTTTACTCAGAGGCTCGCTCTGAGAAGAATGCTGATAGCAAGTTAATGTTTGTGGTTGGACGTGAAACTCCAAGGA